ACCTTAGCATTGATGCTTAGGGTAATGGATCACCACTTCTTGTTAGCTCGTCTTTCAGGACCAATCAAGTGGGCATTATTTCTGATTTTGAGGTGACTAAGGAAAATGGGAGGTTAGGATCTGTCTTATTCTTGTGCCCAAAATTGTATGTAATCCATTCAACATCACATCTTAGTGAAAGCAAATAGTATGTCACCCCTATTTCTTAAGAAACTTTAGTCAACATATAAGTTTTAACCTTGCAACATATGGGTAGAAACGATAGCTAAACATGTAAAAACTGGTTACCCTTATGATCACAAATGATTGATGGATTTCTTATAAGCACAATCCTCACTTTGGGTTGTCATGAAGGATAAGTCAGCGATGGACTTTATGAGCTTGTAATGTGGCTTGAAAATGATAGTTTAAAGAAATAAGGTTTTCAAGGACATTACACTGAAGATCATATTTTTCCAAAATTGTCCCTATTTTGAACTCGAAAATCTTGGACTTCGTTTGACTTTTAACATTACTTAACGGGGACTTTCAGCATCGAAATTTTCATTTCCTTTGCATTTATTTTTGCTTTTTCCTTTTCTCTTTTTTCTTCTCTTCTTTTTCCAAAGGTGTCCTTGCGGATTTTCACATGATGAGCAGTGTCAACCTCATCTAATCAATTTAGAAATACATCTAAAAAATTTCTTGGCATCAGTATATGAGCTTGCCAATTAATTTAGAAAATTTCTCGACAGAGATATTGCAAAGAACAGAAGTCAGGGCTTCCGGCTTTTGTAATGGGGTCAGGTGGGGTGCTTAGAAAGGTTAAGACTTGAAAGCGGATTTCAAAAGCGGTTTGAGTAACCTGAGATCGCATTATTGCGCCAACCCTATTTTAGGGTTAAATCAGAACTTGCCCCAGTTTATTCTCAATTGAGGCTCTTTTCTCTTTCATTTTGTTCTCTTTTTTCGGCATTCTGCCATTCTTTTGAACTTTTCCAAAAATTTTGCCCCAATTTATGCTCAACCGAGGTTCTTTTTTCTTTTTTGCTATTGATTTTGTTGCTTTATAACTTTTCACCTCTTGGGACTTTTCTTTCTTTTTCAACTCAAACTTGCCCCTGTGTGGGGTTTGTGTGACGGCCCCACCTCCCCCTAGGGCGTACCAAAGGGTTCGGCGGGTCGCCTGCCCAGCTCTTGCCGGGACTCAGTCGTTCACTACAGTTCTCAATTAAATTACAATATAAAAATCAAATATGTATCAAATTCTCCAAGAATTACATATCACGAACCCACTTAAGTCCAAACGTTCATACAATCCCTAATAACAACTATTACACAAGATGAAATCCAAAACTCAAACCATACATGAGGTAATCCATCCGGTCACATGAATACGTGCTACAAGCACTTCCTTCGTCTCGAGCCCTGTGGAGGGGAATAAAACATTTTGGGGGTGAGCTAAAAGCTCAGCGAGTAACCAATAAAATCGGTAAGCAAATCAGTTTCACAGTCGTTCATTTCAGTGATGTCATGATTCTAAGATCAAATGTACATTTATTGCTCTCGTGAGCCAATGAAATCGTTGTACTTAAACACCCAACGCTCCAAACAAACATTTAACAGTAAACAGTCAGAGGGGGAGCCATTTGCTCCAGATGAACAGTACACAGAGGTGGAGACGTTGGTGTTCAGCACACGAATTCCAAGTACTCATTTAAGCCAAAACATGTCATGGGCCACATGCAAGCACTCATGATATGCAATCAAGTAAATAGTGCAAGAAACGGTTCATAAGTAACTTTGGAAAGAGTTTAGGGTCACTCACCTCCACGGCTCAGAAACTATCCATCATATATCATTACCTTGCCCGAGTCCAAGCTCTAAATCACAAACTCAAAGCAATCATACATTCTCAAAGTTCGGACAACATTTCCCCATAAATGCTTCATTTCCAACCTACAATATATTACCGATCACACATACGGTTAATAAGCAATAAAATATATCCAATTAGGCCACAATATCCCTCAATCAAAGCTAATTAGAAGCTTAAAAGCCACCACTAGAAAAAACCCCAATTAAACCCTAGAAACCGGAATTCATTCCCTCAAGCGTAAATTTGGGCAGCATGCCCTTTGTGTTTACCTAATTTCCAGCCATTTAGGCTTCATTATTTTTCCTCAACCAATCCCAAAGTCATATATATCATAAATGCAAGTCAATAGCCGTTCCATAGGCTCATAACAATACAAGGACAAAATTTAAGCTAACAACAAGTGTGGAAACGAAGTTTACAAAAGACAGTTTTGACGGGTTTTTACGGAATGGGTACATCTGAGGCTACGCTTATCAGATTGAGGTGAAACTTATACCGTTTCGAAGCTAAGACACAAGGCTACAATGTTCACTTTCCTACATTTATATATTCAAAAACATTTATTTTCTACGATATTGAACTAATGACTGATAAATTAATGAAAAACACTAGAATTTGTTATTTATTATCAAGGATCAGATCACATATAGCATAAAAAAGGGTATGTCATTTTATATTTTTCATTTAATAAATGATCCAAGTTACTCTTTTCAATTAAAGACCCATATATAGCCAAGACTCAAATATGATCAACCGCAAATAATCAAAAAAATTTGCAACCAAAACATTGCAAAGAACACATTTTAACATCACAAAAATCTCAACAACTAACCTTAATATGCTGCTAAGAAACACGACTTTGAGGACCTTAAGGTAGGAATTATCTTCTCCTCTTTATGCCCTTTTTTTTTGTGGTATATTAGTAATAATAGGTTTCATGATTACGATTAATTTGGTATACCTGTGTAATATCTTGAAAGTTGTGAGGATAGTAAGGTCATTTTGCCGTTAATGATGTCAGCTTTTTGCCCCAAGATGTTGACGAGGGAGGTCAGTGTAATTTCTAAAACCTAGAGTGAGGCTAGTGAAATAGTCAGAAACCTCAGGATGATTTCTGAAATTATCCCAAACTAATATGCAACTTCCTACTCAGCCGATTGGCGTTTGATTGGTCAATCTCTTTGGTCGATTTTGACAATATGATGAACGACAACGCCATTAGAAAAAAATGAAATTAATAAATGACGCTTTGAATAGTCAAAGAACTTTTTGCATTGTTTCAGTCAATCATATGCATTCTGCATTAGAAAATATTGTGTATTCTTGAAGGCAGACCTCATGCTTTCCAAATTCAATTCCAAATTTTATCTGCTGGGGAAGTTCTGCTCCACCCAAACTGAAAATTTCTAGCAATCTCTTGAGTCAGCAAGACCAGCAGAATTTTACGGTGCATGCATGCTGTGCTCACCAAAATAGACTCGTGCTGTTGAACATGTTGATTGAGGAACAAACAGAATTTCCTCCAATTCACATATTACAATCAAGATTCTTGCATGCAGTGGATCATATACACCAAAGATTTCCCACCAAAAAAAAAAAGAAAAATCTAGCAAGGAAATTATGATAAATATGAGAACAAGGAAAGCAATTATCAAGAAAGCTCGTATCAAATTTCCTATAGCAACTATACCAGTTACGCTTAAAATTAGAAATTGCCTTTTTCACGTAAATAATGAAACAGCTAGATTCATATATGTAGCAGTCAAGTCACAATTCGGGGTCATCTAAAGCAAATAAGAAATCTTTGGTGTGGAAATTTGAATATTTTAGAAATTGGAAATTTTATTGCATTAGGTATTTACTTAAAAAAGAAAAAACTCTCTTGCTACAGAGCAAGTATTTTAACTATTTACAAAAAAAAAAAAAAAATCTACATCGTTTTGATACAACCATATCAATATAATCATTGATGTTTGGCGATATTTTATTTACCATCACATTTTGAAGTGCAATCTTGACAAAGTGCTTACAAACAAAAAAATTTGAACCATTATCCAAAAAATAGAACAAAAAGGGCAAATTACATTTTATCCCCTATAATTTAGCATTTTTTACATAACCCCCATATAGTTTCAAAAATTATACATAACCCCCTCATAATTTGGATTAAAGTGTCAAAGTGACGGAAATAATCATTCATAACGAAGTCACCTAAAATGTCAAAAATAACCTTATGTAAAGTTGAAAATTATTCATTAACCAAGAGGGATTATGTGTATATTTTGAAAACCATAAGGGGGTTATATGGTAAAATATTAAATTATAAGGGGGTTATATAGTAAAATATAAAAATCATACGGGGGTAGTGTGTCATGTATTTATAAGGGTACTTACGACATTTCTAGAAATTCCGTTACGAATGACGTTGACACTTTAATCCAAACTATGAGAGGATTATGTATAGTTTTTAAAACTATAGGGGAGTTATGTAAAAAGATTAAATCACAAGGGGTAAAATATAATTTGCCCAAAAAAGTACTACACTGTAATTCTACCTCCGATCTCCAACACTGCCAAATCTCCCTGAAACCTCTCCTCCCTATTTTCTCCGCTCTGTAATTCTACCTCCGATCTCCAACACTTCCTCTACTGATACCCCCTTTAGCTTCAAACACGCATCATAACAACATTCCGAAAGACTACCCCTTCCATTGCTACTACCCTGATGTCTAACCCAAAGTAAGTTTGTTTACTATTGTTTATTGGAATGGGCCATTGTTGAACCCAACTGTTAGTTTTCTTTTTCTCTTTTTTTTTTTCCTTCCATTGTTATGAAACGCTATTGATTCAACAAAAAGAGGAGGAGGGGTGCGAAATTATAACTGTACAAGGAAAAAGAAAAGTTTGGATTGGAGATACAAAATGAAGATGGTGTTTGTGGGCTGGGAGAGGAGAAGAAAAGAGAAAAGAAATTGGCTTGTGGTATAACAACTTGAGGAGCCAAGATTTTATACAGGACCATCTTGTTGATACTTGTCCTTCCAATCCATAATCTACAGGCAAAAAAAAAAAAAAATAATCCAAAGATTTGGAATTGGGATTTCCAAGATTAACTACAAGGCAAAAAGTAGGGTAGCTATACCAAGCAGAAGCTTTAGCTGGAGCAAGATAGCCAAGTGTGGCTAATGTGCTGGTGTACGTAATGCTGTCCTCGTGCCCCAGCAACTCTGCAACACCAAAATCGCTCACCTGGGCAACCATATCTTGATCTAGGAGCACAGTACTGGGCTTCACATCACAACGAACTGGTGTCCAAAAACCGTAGTGCAGATATTGCAATGCACATGCCACACCAATCAACATGTCTAGTCTCTGCTTGACTGTGAGAAAATAGTTATAGGAATACAACCATTTCTCAAGACTTCCTGTTAGGTCCAGCCCCAGGAAATTGACGAAAGGATTTTTGACAACCCCAAAAGATAAATAACAAAGCAAAAATAAATGAAACAGGAACATATGAATTTACGTGATTCAGTCAAATTGACCCACGCCCCACGAACGGAGGAGGAACAATATTTTACTATAAAGAAAAGAATACAAAAATACCTTAGGAAAGTGTTTCTAGACTCAAAACATCTAACACTTAAAACACAAGAGAGTCCAAAAGATTTTACTAATTATTTTATGTGTTCAAAAACTAGTCAAGGATCTTTTGGTCATGCAAAATATAACTCGTCTTAACCCTATCAGAAAGTTGACCATAAGGGATAACGTGATATATTCGGAGTTTAGGGGGGTAAAGTGTCACTAGGGGCCAAATTCAGTGGGATAAAGTGTAATTAACACTTTTTAAGTCAAAAAAATATATATATACCTTTCTAATTCAAATCAACATTTGCTAGAATGCTTTAATTTGGAGATAGCAATAGGGGTGGGTGCCCCTTATGGAAGTAAACAAGTGGGAGAAAATGCAGGATGGGAGAGTTTTTCTCCCCCATCTCCCCTACCTATAATTCAAAATTATGGACATGAAATATGAAAAATATGTAATATATATAATTATATACATATGTGATATGACAGAAATAATTTGATATTCTCTTTGTGATAAAATAATATAATCTTTGTTATTAATTTTTTGTGGTTAAATAATAATAATTTTTTTATATGTTCGTTTACATTTTTTTTAGAAGTACGGCATGTTGTTTATATTTAAAAAAAAACAATGATAATGGATTAAGATTTCAGGTAAAATCAAATATAGAGAAACAAATTCGCAGGATCAAAATAATTTTTAAACTTTATTTCAAATTATTTTTTTGGCTAATAAATTCATTATTAGTTTTGTAAATATATAAAAACTAAAGTCAAATAAAAAATAAAAATGATAGCCAGACGTAACGAAGGATCCTACAGGGAGTGGGGTAGTGGGAATGGAAAGAGTAGCTTTCGGAAGACGAGACGAGTCATAAACCCATCTCGTTGCCATTCTTACTTTAATTGCCTTGCCCTTGGCAAAGCGTGAGAAAAAAAATCTTCAAGCTTGAATTTGGGGCCTTTCTAATCTTTGCTTTGTATTTTACTTTTTATTTGGGTAAAATTACACTTTATCTCCCTGTAGTTTAGTATTTTTTTACATAATTCCTGTATAGTTGAAAAGTTATACATAACCTCTTCATGATTTGGATTAAAGTGTAAGAGTGACGGAAATAATCATTTGTAACGGAACTTTTCAAAATGTCAAAATTATCCTTATACATACATAACACACTAATCATGTATGGTTTAATGTTTTACCATATAACCCCCTTATGATTTAATATTTTATCATATAACTCCCTTATGATTTTTAAAATATACACATAACCCTCCTTGGTTAATAAATAATTTTCAGCTTTATATAAGGATATTTTTAATATTTTAGGTGACTCCGTTACGAAGGATTATTTCCGTCACTTTGACACTTTAATCCAAACCATGAAAGAGTTATGTATAGCTTTTGAAATAATAAGGGGTTATGTAATAAAACGCTAATCCATAGGGGGTGTAAAGTGTAATTTGTCCTTTTTGTTTTTTAAACTTAAACGGTTTGAGTAATAAATATTCGAGAGCCGTTCACTGGAAAAATTTTAAAAATCCATGTCCCAGATATACTAGACGTGTACAGATTGAAGACCATGTCCCCTCACATTTTGGCAAGACTTAAGACTGAGTTTTACTTTATCGCTATCTTTTTCTGTGTGCGTACGAAAATGAACAAAAGTCAAAACAAACCAAACTCAGCACTTCAGTTTTGCGTGGCTCACTCATAATCAATTTTAGAGAAAATTCAAGAACAAAAACGTCCTGCTCAGAATACTGTGAAGCATCCCATCTCGACATTTCCCACTTAGAGATTTGAGTATGGCTCTGCATTTCAGCAGTAGCAGTGCATGCTTGTTCTGTGGTCTGAGTCAGAGGAAAGCACTGAGAGTGAGAGCCGTAGCTTCTGAGGATGCAACTGCTGTTAAAACTGTTGGTGAGGAAGATAAGGTGAAGTTGGGTGGTTCAGATTTGAAGGTCACTAGGCTTGGGATTGGGGCTTGGTCCTGGGGTGACACCAGCTACTGGAACAACTTTGAATGGGATGGTATGTTTTCATTTCCTGAATCAGATGGTTTTTTGAACAACCTACATGGAAATTTGTTCAATTACTACATGCTCAAGAGTATTTTGCTATTGGTACGATTTCAGTTTATCCAGCAGTAGGATGAATTTGTTGGGTTCTCAGTAGTTGGGCAGGTTTTTGTGAGAAAGAAGGCTAATGAACAGAAATATGATGTTGTACTATGATTTTTTTTTTTTAATCTTTTTTCCCCTTTACAATGATTGGAAATTGACAAAGTAAGGTTAATTTTCATTCAGCTTCTAATGCGTATATTGACTAGGGCAACTTTGTTTCAATGGAATTGACTAGGCACACGAACACATTCCAGTTAGTATTTCAATGTTAGCACTAATTCTTATTCATTTCTGGTGTTTTTTCTTTTCTTGAGATGGTACCATATTTCTTAATTATGTGCTGATTCCATTCAACTTTATGTGCCAGCATACTCTAGACGGTGATTTTGTATCTAGTGAGCTGAAAAGTGAAAACCTTGGACTTTTTCTTTCTGCATCAACTCTGCTATTTGGTGTGCTTTGGTGGAGGCCTTCGTAGTATTTGCGCCCTCTGTTCAAGTGCAAAACCAGAGTTTTACACCTCAACTAAAAAGTTAAGCTAAATGGCACAAGAGAAGCTTAAGGAATTTAGGGTCCAAGACTTGTCTATATCAAGTCTAATTTCTAATATACTTGAACATTTTCTAATACATGAAACTGGTTTTGCCAAACAATTTGAGATGATATTGTCAGCAAGCGAGGATGCACTGGAACTCTTAGCCCGTAGCTAAGGCTTTTAGCTATTAGACAGTCCTTTTTGCTAACAATGCAGATGATCGATACTGACCATTTTTTATCTGACCTTGTAATTGGACTTAATAACTTTGCAATATTTTGCTTTCTGGTGACAGATAGGAAGATGAAGGCTGCTAAGGGAGCTTTTGATGCGAGTATAGATTGTGGTATTACATTCTTTGACACTGCTGAAGTTTATGGCTCACGGGTGGGAATTGGGTCTGACTTCTTCTGTCACTGATGTTCTATCAAATTTCAAAGAAGACTTTTGTATCTAAAATCCATCACTTCTCATACCTGCAGGTGACTTTTGGTGCAGTAAATTCTGAAACACTGCTAGGAAGGTTAGTAACGAGTTCTTTTTGGTGCTAGTTAGTCCCTCAAGGAAATACACTATCAGCAATCTTCTTTTCTGTTTTTTCAACCTACGTTTGCCATTATGATTAAGGTTTATCAAGGAAAGGAAAGAAAGGAATCCACAGGTGGAATTGCAGTTGCGACCAAATTTGCAGCACTACCATGGAGTTTGGTCGTCAAAGTGTCCTCACTGCTCTTAAAGATTCCCTCTGTCGTCTCGGACTGTCATCAGTTGACCTTTATCAGCTACATTGGTCTGATTCCCTAGCTCCATTTTTATAATCTCTCTATCATTCTGCTTAAGAACTGCAAAACTAATCTGCAAAACTAAATGACATTCTATGACACCATAGGGTCAGGAAGAATTATAGGTGACTGAGTTTAACAAATATCCCAATTTTGTGTCTCAGAACATGTGATAAGTTGATTTTTTTTTTAGTTTATTTCACATTATTTCTAACAACCACTTGCTGATAGAAATACTTTGAATAACATTTCAGGCCTGGCATATGGGGAAATGAAGGTAAAGGTTCATTTTCGTTAAGCAATTCTTTCAGTTACCAAGCAGCTTGACCTATGAAAGATGAGTGATGGTAAAATTCAGAATAGTATTCACTGACAGGAGATCGATTTTCAGGATACATTGACGGCCTTGGAGATGCTGTGGAGCAAGGCCTTGTGAAGGCTGTTGGAGTATCTAATTATACTGGTATGTGATTCCTTTCTGTCTGCTTATAATCAAGCTCATGAATCTCTGTATTTACTCTACTCATTACCTCCTTTATACTCTCAAAGAGTTCCCTTATATGTGCATCCTGTATAAATTGGGGAATGGGGAAACAGGATTTCTGATCTGTTAAGAGTAGAATTGGATGCTAAAGCTTATGCTTGATGACATGATTGTCATTTCAGAGAAACGACTTCGTGATGCATATGAGCAACTTAAAAGAGAGGCATCCCACTGGCCTCCAACCAGGTCAATTACAGTCTCATATATAGGGCTCCAGAGGAAAATGGTGTAAAGGCAGCCTGTGATGAACTTGGTGTCACTCTCATTGCATATTCACCATTGCTCAAGGTTAAGTCTTACTTCTTTTATTTTGTGGTGTCTGGTGTGCAAGTTTGACTAGTGAACTTAAATGTTCTTGGCATGGTAACTTATTGCTCAACTATGTAGTTGAATAACAGATGTCATAAAAATTTCACATACTCCCCACAAGATTGTTCGGACAGTAAAACTAAAACGCACTGGTGGATTTGCTCATCAAGTCAGTGGCATAGTCAGGAATAAATTTTAGTGTGGGAAAAATCATTATTAGTACAATTTTTTTCTGTCTTTGCTTAAAAGCAGGACATAACAACATTATTCACATTAAAAGGTAGGGATAAATTGAGAAACCTCCTCTGAGGTTTTTGATAATATCATTAGTGCACTTGAACTTCTAAAAGTATCACTTTCCTCCCTTATCACCTAAAGTCAATTTCACAAGCCACCGAGTGATAATATCACAAGAAAAATTTACCTCCATCAAAAGTGATATCCTAATCCCACGTAATTGAATTATAATATT